CAATGTGTACATATCGCCGAGACTAACTTCGCGGGAGCAGAATTCTGTAAGTTTTCCATCAAATTTGGTACTTTTGGTGTCATTACCATCGGGAAAAGATTCCCTATCATTTCATATTTTTTTTTTTTTTTTTTTTTACTGAGAGCAAGTTTGTGAGCAGAGGTCTCGACAGTGAAAGGGTTAATCTCTGCTTTTCAGTTTCTGTGGAAAGACTACACATTCAACTTAGTCAGCACTCGTTTTCTCTTGTGCCGTAGACATGGTAGATGGTGGTGCTGGTAGATGGTGGTGATGGTTTATTCAGGTATTGTAGGTCATAGTAATCCTTTTTGAATGCTTGCGTATCATCAAGCAACGGCAACCAGAATTGAAAGTATGATAAAGTTGTTCCTTTTGACTTTTTACCCCACTTTCAATTTTCTTTTATATTTTTTGAGCTCCAAAGAATGTAACCCAATATTTTTCCCATGTTTTTCACTTTAAATAATACTAATTTGAAAAAAGGACTGATTTCCAGGAATGTGACTCGTGTGTTAGTTGAGGGTTTACTATAAGTCACATTTTCCATGAAAAACTTGAAACTTTTTGGATTATCCTAAGAATAGCCAGGTATATAATGCTTTCACTGCTTCCCCTCCCCTTCTCTACTGTATGACCACAATGACTGTAGCACTTTCTCATAAATATAATAAATATAAACTGTCATATCTGAGTGCCTCTGTGAAGACAATGATTATGTGTGAATGATGGTAAAAGTGTTTTCTTTCTTTTTTGGGTCACCTGCCTTGGTGGGAGATGGCCAATATGTTGAAAATATAAATAATAATAAAAATAAATGGGATTAAGTCAGGAGTATCTGAGAGAGTTAGAGCTAAGGGGTAGCAATAATGTTGAAGGATCAGTTATGGAAGGAGAAGAGGGAATATAAATGTAAATTCAAGAATTATGTGGATTAAAATAAGGGTTGGATGCAAAAATTGGGTCATAATAAGTATGTATGCACCAGAAGAGTGGAGTATAGAGGAGAGAGAGATACTTTTGGGAAATTTACACGAATGTATAGGAACCTTTGAACCAAGTGAGAGAGTAATTGTGGTAGGGGACCTAAATGCTAAAGTAGGAGAAACATTTAGAGAGGGTGTGTTAGGTAAGTTTGGGGTGCCAGATATAAATGAGAATGGGAACCCTTTGATTGAACTTTGTATAGAAAGGGGTTTAGTTATATATAATACATATTTTAAGAAAAAGAGGATAAATAAGTATACAAGATATGATGTAGGGCGAAATGACAGTAGCTTGTTGGACTACGTATTGGTAGATAAAAGATTGTTGGGTAAACTTCAGGATGTACATGTTTATAGAGGGGCCACAGATATATCAGATCACCTTTTAGTTGTAGCTACAGTGAGAGTAAAAGGTAGATGGGATACAAGGAAAATGGAAGCAGCAAGTAAGAGAGAAGTGAAGGTTTGTGAACTAAAGGAGGCAGTTAGTGTAAGATATAGACAACTGTTGGAGGACAGATGGGCTAGTGAGAATACAGGCAATGAGGTAGAAGATGTATGGGGCAAGTTTAAGAATATAGTGTTAGAATGTTCAGCAGAAGTTTGTTGTTACAGGAAAGTGGGTGTGGGAGGGAAGAAGACTGATTGGTAGAATGATGGTGTAAAGAGTAGTAAGAGAGAAAAAGTTAGCATATGAGAGGATTTTACAAAGTAGAAGTGATGAAAGGAGGGAGGGGTATATAGAGAGAAAAAGAGGTTAAAAGAGTGGTGAAGCAATGTAAAAAGAGAGCAGTGAGAGAGTGGGTGAGATGTTATCAACAAATTTTGTTAAAAATAAGAAAAATTTTGAAATGAGACTAATAAGTTGAGAAAGCCTAGGGATCAAATGGTTTTGTTAGTTAAAAATAGGAAAGAAGAGTTATTAAATAGAGATTAGAGGTCTCGGGAAGATGGAGGGAATATTTTGAGGTATTGTTAAATGTTGATGAAGATAGGGAAGCTGTGATTTCGTGTAAAGGGCAAGGAGGAATAACATCTTATAGGAGTGAGGAAAAACCAGTTATGAGTGTGGGGGAGGTGCATGGGGCAGTGAGTAGAAGGAAAGGGGGTAAAGCAGCTGGGATTGATGGAATAAAGATAGAAATGTTAAAAGCCGGTAGGGATATAGTTTTGGAGTGGTTAGTGTTTTTATTTAATAAATGTATAGAAGAGGGTAAGGTAACTAGGGATTGGCAGAGAGCATGCATAGTTCCTTTGTATAAAAGCAAAGGGGACAAAAGAGTGTAAAAATTATAGGGGAATAAGTATGTTGAGTATGCCTGGTAAAGTGTATGGTAGTTATTATTGATAGAATTATGAACAAGGAGGCTTTAGGAAAGGTAGGGGGTGTGTAGACCAAGTGTTTGCAATGAAACACATAGGTGAACAGTAGTATTTGGATAAGAGCAAAGAGGGTTTTTGTGGCATTTATTGATTTGGAAAAGGCATGTGATAGGGTGGATAGGGGGGCAATGTGGCAGATGTTGCAAATGTATGGAATAAGAGGTAGGTTATTGAAAGCAGTGAAAAGTTTTTATGAGGATAATGAGGCTCAGGTTAGAGTATGTACGCAAGAGGGGGATTATTTTCCAGTAAAAGTAGGCCTTAGACAGGGATGTGTGATGTCACCATGGTTGTTCAGTATATTTATAGATGGAGTAATAAGAGAAGTGAATGCTAAGGTGTTGGCAAGAGGTGTGGGGTTAAAAGATAAAGGATCTAACACAAAGTGGGAGTTGTCGCAGTTGCTCTTTGTTGATGATACTGTGCTTTTGAGAGATTCTGAAGAGAAGTTGCAGAGGTTGGTTGATGAGTTTGGTAGGGTATGTAAAAGAAGGAAGTTAAAAGTTAATATAGGAAAGAGTAAGGTGATGAGGATAAAAAAAAATTAGGTAACGGAAGATTGGATATCAGATTGGAGGGAGAGAGTATGGACGAGGTGAATTTTTTTTTTTTTTTTCCAACAAGTCGGCCGTCTCCTACCGAGGCAGGGTGACCCAAAAAAGAAAGAAAATCCCCAAAAAGAAAATGCTTTCATCATCATTCAACACTTTCACCACACTCACACATTATCACTGTTTTTGCAGAGGTGCTCAGAATACAACAGTTTAGAAGCACATACGTATAAAGATACACAACATATCCCTCCAAACTGTGATGTGTTCAGATATTTGAGAGTGGATGTGTCAGCAGATGGGTCTGGGAAGGATGAGATGAATCATAGAATTGACGAGGGAAAAAAGGTGAATAGTGCACTGAGAAGTCTGTGGAGACAACTTTATCCATGAAAGCATCAAGGGGAATGTATAAGAGTATAGTTATACCAATGCTCTTGTATGGGTGGGAGGCATGGATTGTGAATGTTGCAACAAGGAGAAGGCTTTAGGCAGTGGAGATATCATGTCTGAGGGTAATGTGTGGTGTGAATATAATGCAGAGAATCCGTAGTTTGGAGATTAGGAGGAGGTGTGGGATTACCAAAACTATTATCTAGAGGGCTGAGGAGGGGTTATTGAGATGGTTTGGACATGTAGAGAGGATGGAACAATATAGAATGACTTTGACAGTGTACTAATCTGTAGTGGAGGGAAGGCAGCGTAGGGGTTTGCCTAGGAAAGGTTGGAGGGAGGGGGTAAAGGAGGTTTTGTGTGCTAGGGGCTTGGACTTCCAGCAAGCATGCGTGAGCATATTTGATAGGAGTGAATGAAAACAAATGGTTTTTAATACTGGATGTGCTGTTGGAGTGTGAGCCAAGTAACATTTATGAAGGGATTCAGGGAAACCGGCAGGCTGGGCTTGAGTCCTGGAGATGGGAAGTACAGTGTCTGCACCCTGAAGGAGGGGTGTTAATGTTGCAGTTTTATAACTGTAGTGTAAACACCCCTCTGGGAAGACAGTGATGGAGTGAATGATGATGAAAGTTTTTCTTTTTCAGGCCACCCTGCCTTGGTGGGAATCGGCCAGTGTGTTAATAGAAAAATTGAATGTACTGTGTATGTATTTTACTTTTTATTGTGTTTTTTAGTATCTAGTTCTATTACTATCTTTTTATAAGTTAGTGTAAAGTTCTTGTCTGGCATTTATATGCCAGACATGCGATGTCTTCTTTCCGGCGATAGCCTGGAACTTAACCTGCCATATAAGTGGGGCCCTACTGCACTAACCTTCCTATGGTGTATAAATATAACTAGTTGGATGTATCTTATTGTAGCCAGCTGGCCCAGTGGCTAGCACGTCAGTCTGGAGTTTTATGACTCTCTAACCATCAGTTCAAGCCCTGCCTATGGTATGGTTTGTTTCCAATCATGTCATTACAATATCGTGAGTCATAATAATCATCCCCCCTTCCCCATCTTCTCTTCCTTTTAAAAAAATCCTGAAATGTTTGATAGCTTGTTAGCCTTTTTTACTGTCTCATTTTTAAAAGACAAAACAGCCAACTCCTTCAGTCTTGTAAATTCATGAGCAATGCTAAAAATGTTTTTACTGCTTGTGTGTGTGTGTTTTTTTTTTTATCACATCGACCGTTTCCCACCAAGGCAGGTTGACCCAAAAAGAAAGGAAACCCCGAAAAGAAAGAAAAAACTTTCATCATTCAACACTTTCACCATCATTTACACATAATCACTGTCTTTGCTTGTGTATATTTAGTCATAATCAAGATCTGGGAAGAGAAAAAGATAACTATCTTCTAAGGAGCACTTGTAAAGTACTGTATACTGGGGCTATAGTTTGCTCACAATTGGTTACTGGTTAAGTAAGGTAATGGAAGTTAGGAGCAGTGTTCTACTGTGTAATATATTTCAACTACTCATTTTGTTCAAGAAGCCATAGTAGCAGATGTATATGGTGTACCCATTTGTTTGAACTTAGATGCAATAAATATTTTTAAAGAGAGCACTGCCTTAATTTATAGACTGCTAAAAACTGAACTTATTTGCAATTCTATATTTTCAGCCAACATGGTAGCTATTGGCAGCATGTCACCAGAAATTCAAGTCTGGGACCTGGATTTGATAGATTGCCTGGAACCTGCTTATACTCTTGGCAAGAGAGGCAAGAAGAAAAAGAAAATTCCTGGCATTGGACATAAACAGCCAGTTCTAAGCCTGGCATGGAATAAACATGCTGAGTTAGTGTTTAACTTTTTTGTCTGAGAAAACTGAATATTATTTTGGTTTGTTATTTACCTAATGCTACAACTTAGATTGCTTGAAATTATTCCAGTCTTATCACTTTGTCTTTTTAATTTCTTTAATAAAGCTGCCTAATTTTTTGTAACTGAGAAACCTTTCAGTAAATAATAAGCTTACAGATTTTTACTTTATGCTGCATTTGGGGTTCAAATCCATTCAATAGTATCCTGGGCTAAGATGAGGTCTTAAGTAATGACTCTCTGGACATCTAGACCATCAGATTGGATAAATGACCTTCACCATCACATGCTAATTCAGTGCCAGGAACACTTATCACCATTTTCATCTCATTCTGCCAATCATTGCTCCTCTTCTCTCGTGTATCTTCCCTCCTATAGCTGCAACCCTTTGCTGCACATTGGTACTGCAGTCTAAATAGTACTGTAATCTTACTGTTACTGCATTCTTAATTCTACACCACAGCTTATCACTTAATTGCCATTCTTTCTACCATCATCTCTTGTTCTGTATCTCTTCTTAACCCTTTCTGGGTTTCGGACGTACTAGTACGGCTTACGCACCAGGGTTTTTGACGTACTAGTACGCCTAAATTCTAGCGCCCTCAAATCTAGTGAGAGAAAGCTGGTAGGCCTACTTATGAAAGAATGGGTCTATGTGGTCAGTGTGTGCAGTATAAAAAAAATCCTGCAGCACACAGTGCGTAATGAGAAAAAAAAACTGTTTTTGGATTAAAACAGCGGCTTTGCACTGTATTTTCGTATGGTATTTATTGTTGTATTCTAGTTTTTCTGGTTTCATTTTATAGAATGGAAGACATATTACAGAAATTTAGATGATTTTGACTGGTTTTGCAATGAAAAGTACCTTGAAATTGGGCTCAAAGTAGCAGAAATGTTCAATTTTTTACCAAAGTTCAAAAGTAAACAAATCATGCTAAGTGTCCAATACATGTCAACTGGTGAGTCTAATATTCTTTCACAAGTGCGCTGATATTATTGATACCATTTCTACACTAATTGTAGGTAGTAGGTTGGTAGACAGCAACCTCCCAGGGAGGTACTACCGTCCTGCCAAGTGAGTGTAAAACGGAATCCTGTAATTGTTTTACATGATGGTAGGATTGCTGGTGTCTTTTTTCTGTCTCTTAAACATGCAAGATTTCAGGTACATCTTGTTACTTCTACTTACACTTAGGTTACACTACACATACATGTTTTTTTTTTTTTTTTTTTTCAACAAGTTGGTCGTCTCCCACCGAGGCAGGGTGATCCAAAAAAGAAAGAAAATCCCCAAAAAGAAAATACTTTCATCATCATTCAACACTTTCACCACACTCACACATTATCACTGCTTTTGCAGAGGTGCTCAGAATACAACAGTTTAGAAGCATATACGTATAAAGATACACAACATATCCCTCCAAACTGCCAATATCCCAAACCCCTCCTTTAAAGTGCAGGCATTGTACTTCCCATTTCCAGGACTCAAGTCCGACTTTAAGAAAATAACCGGTTTCCCTGAATCCCTTCACTAAATATTACCCTGCTCACACTCCAACAGATCGTCAGGTCCCAAGTATCATTCGTCTCCATTCACTCCTATCTAACACGCTCATGTATGCTTGCTGGAAGTCCAAGCCCCTCGCCCACAAAACCTCCTTTACCCCCTCTTTCCAACCCTTTCGAGGACGACCCCTACCCCTCTTTCCTTCCCCTATAGATTTATATGCTTTCCATGTCATTCTACTTTGATCCATTCTCTCTAAATGACCAAACCACCTCAACAACCCCTCTTCTGCCCTCTGACTAATGCTTTTATTAACTCCACACCTTCTCCTAATTTCCACACTCCGAATTTTCTGCATAATATTTACACCACACATTGCCCTTAGACAGGACATCTCCACTGCCTCCAACCATCTCCTCGCTGCTGCATTTACCACCCAAGCTTCACATCCATATACGAGTGTTGGTACTACTATACTTTCATACATTCCCTTCTTTGCCTCCATAGATAACATTTTTTGACTCCACATATACCTCAACGCACCACTCACCTTTTTTCCCTCATCAATTCTATGATTAACCTCATCCTTCATAAATCAATCCGCCGACACGTCAACTCCCAAGTATCTGAAAACATTCACTTCTTCCATACTCCTCCTCCCCAATTTGATATCCAATTTTTCTTTATCTAAATCATTTGATACCCTCATCACCTTACTCTTTTCTATGTTCACTTTCAACTTTCTACCTTTACACACATTCTCAAACTCATCCACTAACCTTTGCAATTTTTCTTTAGAATCTCCCATAAGCACAGTATCATCGGCAAAAAGTAACTGTGTCAATTCCCATTTTGAATTTGATTCCCCATAATTTAATCCCACCCCTCTCCTGAACACCCTAGCATTTACTTCTTTTATAACCCCATCTATAAATATATTAAACAACCATGGTGACATTACACATCCCTGTCTAAGACCTACTTTTACCAGGAAGTATTCTCCCTCTCTTCTACACACCCTAACCTGAGCCTCACTATCCTCATAAAAGCTCTTTACAGCATTTAGTAACTTACCACCTATTCCATAAACTTGCAACATCTGCCACATTGCTCCTCTATCCACTCTATCATATGCCTTTTCTAAATCCATAAATGCAATAAAAACTTCCCTACCTTTATCTAAATACTGTTCACATATATGCTTCAATGTAAACACTTGATCTACACATCCCCTACCCACTCTGAAGCCTCCTTGCTCATCAGCAATTCTACATTCTGTCTTACCTCTAATTCTTTCAATTATAACTCTACCGTATACTTTTCCTGGTATACTCAGTAAACTTATTCCTCTATAATTTTTACAATCTCTTTTGTCCCCTTTCCCTTTATATAAAGGGACTATACATGCTCTCCGCCAATCCCTAGGTACCTTCCCCTCTTTCATACATTTATTAAACAAAAGTACCAACCACTCCAACACTATATCCCCCTCTGCTTTTAACATTTCTGTCATGATCCCATCAGTTCCAGCTGCTTTACCCCCTTTCATTCTACGTAATGCCTCACGTACCTCCACCACACTTACATTCTGCTCTTCTTCACTCCTAAAAGATGGTATACCTCCCTGGCCAGTGCATGAAATTACCGCCTCCCTTTCTTCCTCAACATTTAAAAGTTCCTCAAAATATTCTCGCCATCTACCTAATACCTCTCTCTCCCCATCTACTAACTCCCCTACTCTGTTTTTAACGGACAAATCCATACTTTCCCTAGGCTTTCTTAACTTGTTTAACTCACTCCAAAATTTTTTCTTATTTTCATTAAAATTTCTTGACAGTGCCTCTCCCACTCTTTCATCTGCTCTCCTTTTGCACTCTCTCACCACTCTCTTCACCTTTCTTTTACTCTCCATATACTCTGCTCTTCTTATAACACTTCTGCTTTGTAAAAACCTCTCGTAAGCTACCTTTTTCTCTTTTATCACACCCTTTACTTCATCATTCCACCAATCACTCCTCTTTCCTCCTGCCCCCACCCTCCTATAACCACAAACTTCTGCCCCACATTCTAATACTGCATTTTTAAAACTATTCCAACCCTCTTCAACCCCCCACTACTCATCTTTGCACTAGCCCACCTTTCTGCCAATAATCGCTTATATCTCGCCCGAACTTCCTCCTCCCTTAGTTTATACACTTTCACCTCCCTCTTACTTGTTGTTGCCACCTTCCTCTTTTCCCATCTACCTCTTATTCTAACTGTAGCTACAACTAAATAATGATCTGATATATCAGTTGCCCCTCTATACATGTACAAGCATATATATACACTCCCTCTGGGTTTTCTTCTATTTTCTTTCTAGTTCTTGTTCTTGTTTATTTCCTCTTATCTCCATGGGGAAGTGGAAGAGAATTCTTCATCCGTAAGCCATGCGTGTTGTAAGAGGCGACTAAAATGCCGGGAGCAAGGGCCTAGTAACCCCTTCTCCTGTATAAATTACTAAATTTAAAAAGAGAAACTTTCATTTTTCTTTTTTGGGCCACCCTGCCTTGGTGGGTACTGCCGGTTTGTTGGAAAAAAAAAAGCTACACTAATGCAGTAGTCTGCGTAACAGTAAATCTTCTATTTTTTTTTGTGAGAAGAAAAATTCAAAGTGGAAAGCAAAAGAATGTAAGAGGGGCATGGGGACGTGACTACTGAACAGAGAAGATGTTATTTTAGTGCCAGGAATGTCTTTCTTGTTTATTCTGGACCTTATTTTGAAATTGGCATCTTTGAAATTTGTGTGAAATTGGCAAAATGGCTAAATTCTGACCACTGTATTGGATAGTTGAAATCAGTAAATTGGTGGTTTCTTGTACTCATTCGATAGAAAAAATGGAGTTCTAGCGAAATAGTTATGATTTTTGTCGACTAGTACACTGGAATTGGCCGAAAATAGGGCTCAAAGTGGGCAAAATCACCGATGCGTAAGCATTGTCGAGACCGCTAACTTCGCGAGAGCATAATTCCGTAAGTTTTCCATCAAATTTCATATTTTGGTGTCATTATGATCGGGAAAAGATTCTCTATCTTTTCATAAGAAAAAATAATTTTTTGTTTTTTTGAAATTTGGGTGACCCTAAGAACAAGTCTGGGAGAGGGCCTGGAGACCCTGAAAGGGTTAACAATCCCTCTTTTAATTCATTCATTTGTATTTCTTTCTTATCTATTAACCCTTTCACTGTCTCATGTAGATCTTCATAATTGTAGCACCCTCAGTTATGCTTTGGTCAATAAAATTTGGCCTAGATATTAGAGAATGGGTTTATGCAGTGGATATACACAGTATGGAAAGTGTTTTTTTTTTTTTTTTTGGTCACCCTGCCTCTGTGGGAGATGGCCATGTTAGAAAAAAAAAAATTCTGCCCCATGCATTGCATGTTGATGGGAACAGTTAATTTTTGATCCTGTGTTTAGTTTAAAACTT